ACTGTAATTGTGGAGAAAACTGCTGTCCAAAGCAACATTAAGGGAATCTGATTAGAATTGCCAGTGCCAATATGTAATGTATAAAATATTTCACTAAAGGAAAAGCACAGGAAACAAATGAGATCAGAGCTGTACAGAATGTCTCTTTTTCCTGAAGAAAGAGTCCCCCGCCCCAGGATGACTGGCAACAGGCAGAGTGGGCCTGCCCTGGTAGCAGGCAGACTCAGGCCTCTGGTGGCCTTCACCCTGACGTGCTGGTGGTAAGGAAACGCTGACGCATCAGGAGAAAGGCGCGTTGGATGATTCCCTTTCCTGTCTGGAGAGAGCTCTCTGTGCTTTCTAGACTTAATTCCACGGTCACGGCTGCTTAGGAAACACTGTGTTTTCAGTAGCTCGTCTCCAGACCTCATTCTTGTGTTGCCATGTGCTGGAGCTTCCCCTCCAGGCTTGCAAAGGAAGGACTTTGCCATATGACTTTTAGAAACAGTGAGGATCTTGATTTCCTGTGGCCTGGGATTGGAATCAGGAGTCAGGAGGGGAGCCGCGGACCGCCTGAGTGTTGCAGAACGCTGACAGCGACAGGGACCTAACCTTCCTCATTCTGCATTCTCCTTCCTCTGCCGGGTTACCCTCACCCTCTTGCATCATCTTCCAAGTGTGCCTGGAAGGTGGCTGAGTCTTAGGTCAACCTCATCAAAACCACTTCCGCACACCACTGTCCTTCCTGCTGCAGGAACACAGAACCACGCAGCAGTTTCCTGCCGTCTCTCCCCGCTCCGGCCACCACAGTGATGGTACATCTTCCTTCCTTGCCAGCCATTAGCTTTTCAGCCCTGTGCACTGCTATTTTAATAAATCATTTTCACTTTAAAACTTCTATTTTGTGTATTAATAGAATAAATCATTTTTACAATATGTATGAATGTCCTGTTAGTTTTGAAATTTTATGCCCCTAACCCTTTATTTTGAAAAATTTCTAACCCATAGAAAGTTGAACAAATAGGAAATTAACAGTCACATGTCCTTTGACCTGATTTATCTCATGACACTTCATTCCTACACACTTCAATAAGAATCTCTTAAGAATAAGAAGATACTACATAATTACAATATCATTAGTATATACAGGGACTTCAACACAAAAGTTCTTTTTTTTTAAGAGAGAGGGAGATTTTTTAAAATATTTATTTATTTTTTTTAGTTTTCGGTGGACACAACATCTTTATTTTATGTGGTGCTGAGGATCGAACCCAGCGCCCCGCGCATGCCAGCCAAGTGCGCTACCGCTTGAGCCACATCCCCAGCCCCACAATAGTTCTTTTTTTAAAATGTGTTTTTGCATTACTTTTACATTTTTTATTTTTAGTTATAGATGGACACAATACCTTTATTTTATTTATTTTTATGTGTGCTGAGGATAGAACCCAGTGCCTCACACCTGCTAGGCAAGCCAGCAACTCTACACTGTGCCACAGCCCCAGCCCTAACACGATAGTTCTATCTGATGCAGTGTCCACTACTCAGTTTTCTCCAATATCTCCAAAATATGCCTTCTAGATGTTTTCTTCTGCTTTTGCTTTTGATCCAGTGTCCTTTAAAAGGCCATGTGTTGCATTTGGTCGTCATAATTCTTTAGTCTTCTTTAATCTAGAAGAGTCCTCCCACCTTTCATTCTGTGTTGTATTGTTCGTGGTCCTAGAATCTGGATTTACCTTATTATTTTTTCATGGTAGATTCAGGTTCAACATCCTGGTAAGAGCAGAGCATGGGTAATGAATCCTCAGTAACACAACAAAAGAAAACAAACAAAAAACCCTCTATCATTAGCCTGGCCAGGCGGCTCAGGCCTGTGATCCCAGATAACTCAGAGGGCTGAGTCAAGAAGATCACAAGTTGAAGTCCAGATGCAGCAACTTTGGGAGGCCCTTCCTTAAAACAAAAAATAAAAAGGGCTGGGGGTGTAAATCAGTGGCCGAGCACCCCTGGGTTCAATCCCCTATACCACCAAGAACACCCCTTCATTACCGAGGGAAAGCTTGGCGGTGGCTTGGTTTTGAGTGTGCCCATTATAATGCTATGTGTTTTTTTCATCTCTTTACAACGAGCAAGTTACTGCAGGGTGATACTTAGAAACTGTGAATATCCTGTTCCCAACAACTTCTTTCACTGGGGATTGCTATATGAAAATTCAAGATCTGGAATCGGACGTGCCCATTGCTTCTGGAATATGATTACTTCCAGGTCATTTCTGTGGCTATGGATACTAAGAAACATGACTTTATTTTTATTTATTGTGCTGGGGATAGAATCCAGTCCTCAAGCCCACCAGGCTCATTTCCTACCTCCGAGGACTTCTGAGTCCTGGCAGGTTTTAGGTTCACGTAACTTTATTCTGACACTTGTACTGTTGTACCAGTGCTCAGGTGGGGGGTGGAAGAGGCCAGGGACAGGCCACGTCACTTGTCTACTCGGTTGTCTTCCATAGTGGATGCTCTGTGGGGCACTGAGTTGGGACACAAACATCTTCATGCCTCGTGTGCGCTTCCCACATCCACCCACCTGCTCTGATCCCAGGCCTCCCTGTTTCTGAAGGCTCTGCCCGCTGAGATCATTGTCCCCTGTCCCTGTCCAGGCCACTCTGAGTGCGCCCTGGTGCAGCTGCCCTCCTTCTCAGCTTGCACACTTGTGGAGCTGACCCAGCTAGGTGAAGATCAGGCTTTCTCCTCCTTGTCGGAGGGGACCTGCACACAGCTGTGTGCCCACTGGTCATCTTTGTGCCAGGCCATGCTCGAGGCTGGTGTGTCCCCTGTCTTAAGAAGGATGGCAAGCTCGCTTTGGCGAACCCGAGCTGGCTACTTCTGAGAGGCAGTTCTAGATGCAGTCTCGTGGTTTCCCAGGGTCAGACTTTCCCCCTCCTCACCACCTGAATGACCCCCAAGTTCTGTCTCAGAAGGCATGCTCTGGCTGCAGAAGCACACTCCCACACCAGAGTCGGCAGTTCAAGGGGCTCCGTGGCAAACTGCATGCACAACCACTTGGACCTACTACAGAATCCCTTCTTGCTCTGGACTGTGTTTGAAGCCCACGGTCATTCCGCCTTCCACTTGAGAAGTGCGACTGGACATATGCCATGGAGCCCAAAGCCTGTCTGCTGATGCACGTCTTTGTCGTGGAAAGAGGTAATTCAGGAAGCAATAATTTGTCTTTTACAGGGACTGTTCCAACACAACCCCATAACCAATCGTAAATGTTTTATGGATGTAGCAGGTTCCTAAACTCTTCAGAGTGTACCTTCCACCCTTTGGAGCACATGTCTTCCTAAGGCCTCCAGCTTGCCAGTCACTTCTTGCTTGTGTACCTTTGTGACAACATGCCATTGTCATAATGTACCAGTGTGACAGTGGGACATCCACATGTCCTGGATCCCTTTAGGCTCTCTTATGATAGAAAATGGAAAAGTTAAAAGAGGTAGAGAACAAAACTGTTCCATGTCCTGATTGGGATAGAAAAGAATATATGCACTAAACCAATGACTGCTTAGGATGTATATGAGGCCAGATTAATCTCCTCTAGCAAAGGTACCATAACTGCCACCGTGGCTTCTGTGACCTCGTTTGGTTATCCTCCAGTTTCCACAGGAGCCAGACTGGTAAATTAGAAGAATGGGAACCACTTTCCATTCATGAGGGCACGCTGATTTCTGCTGTTATTTGGAAGAAATGCTATGTTTTCTACCTAGTATCTGGGCCAAGGGTTTCGATTCTTCTTGGACATCCCCACTCTCAGCCTGCACACCAGGAAGCATGTCAGAGTTCTGCAGCTGCCGAGGGATCAGTCCCGACTCCCACACTGGGAAAACCACCAGTGGACGGTGTCGCGTTCCTCGTGACTAAAACACTCAGGGTCACTCCGGGGGAACCGGGCCATGCAAAATAATCACCCAGGAGACAGAGATACCTTTTTCTTTGGGGGTCCTGTGATGGCGCCTCTGACCTTAAGGGTCTGCAGAAAGAGTGAGAATGAGCCCGGGCTGACCCCTTTTATTGAGGAGAAGCCACTCAAATGAGGCAAGGGCCAGGTTTCAGGGGCTGAGTCCTTGACCCGGAATGCTTGGTCCCGGGAGGGTGGCTGTGGAGTCTTGACGGACGTGGCCCAGTTCTCCTCCGGGGGTTGTGCTCTTCGTCTCTCCCACCAGAGACACCCGAGAGTCTTGCTTTCACACAGCTTCACCAAAAAGAGGGTTGTTGATCTCTGGAATATTTGTTAATCTAATAAGCACCTGCTCCAATTTTTAGATCCACGAAGGTTTCCTTTCTCTCCTCATTTGACCTGTTGCCTATCTGCTCTCCTGCGGATTCTTGTTTTGTATGATTATAGAGCCTAGGGTAAGCTGACCATGTCCACCTCTCTGTCCTCACTGCAGGTCACTCTCCTGCCGACCCACGCCCCTCACTCCTCTTTGGTGGTGCAGCAGGGCTGGCCTGCTTCCTGTTGCTCAGGACCCTCTGTCACTCAGGCTCTTCGGAGAAGCGGAATCTGTGGTGTGAACGGCAACCACAGCAGGGCAGGCTCTTCAGAACCCAGCACGGGACCAACGGCGTGATCTCAGCAGACAGAGACACAGAGGAACACATCTCTTTATCGAAACATGAATTTGCTATTTCTATTAATGTTATATAATTCATAAACACACAGCTTTATGTCCTATATGGAAATCTAGGTGTACTAGATTTTAGGTGTAGATACCCAATACCTATATAGTGATGTCTTTCAATATATCTCTATTAGTCAATTGATAGATAAATCGAGATTTATTTTAAGAAATGGGTTCATGCAATTGTGGAGCTGATGCATCCAAAACCCACAGGGCAGGCTGGCAAAGCTGGAAACTCAAGCAGGAATCATTTAATGCTGAGGTCTTGAGACCAATCTCTTCTCTGAGAAACCTGTGTCTGCCCACATAGTATAAAGAGAAACCCCCTTTACCTAAGGTCACCTGATTGTACATGTTAATCACGTGCATATGTGCAGTGCTGGCCTGGCATGTTCAAAGCCCTGGGATTGATCCCAGCACCACAAAATAAAAAATCAAAAAACAGGAGCACCTAGATTGGTGTCTGACTGAACAGTGGTGCAGTGCCTAGACAAACTGACACACAAAACTAACCAGCACACCCTCCAGACTTGTGCTGGTAGTTCCTATTTCCTCAGCCCCCAAATCTCACTCTCTGATCCTAGAGTAAATGGCTTCTTCTTATTAATCAGGTAGTTTTAAAATATTCACAAAAAAGAACAGTGTCAGTGGCACATGCCTGCGATCCAAGCAACTTGGGAAGCTGAGGCAGGAGAATTGCAAGTTTGAGGTCAGCCTCAGCAACTTAGCAAGACCCTGTCTCAAAAGAAAAAGGGCTGGGGATATAGCTCAGTGGCAGAGCACCCCTGAATTCAATTCCTAAATAAATAAAATGTAGATTCAGTGTTAATACCAGTGCTAAATATTTTAAAACTCATTTCACATCAGAAATTAAACCTACCATAGTGCATAAAATAATAACTTGCATGCAGTTCTCAGAATCCTCAGAAGATGTGCTGTGTCATATGGCTAAGGCACAGTCTTCAGAGTCAGACTAATTCTATTTTGTCACTTTTCTGTGGCATGATTGTGGGCAAGGTATTATTCTCTTAAAGGTTGTGATCTTGTTTTGTAAATGGTGAATAATAACACCTTTCATGAATGGGTGCTATATTTTATTAAATGTTTTCTCTGTATCTGTTGAGATGACCAAGTGATTTTTGTCCTTAATTCTACTTAAGTGTTAAGACCCCTTTGCATTCCTGAAATAAAACCAATTTGGTCATAATCTCCAATTTCTTAATATGTTGTTGAATATGATTTGCTAACGTTTTATTAAGGATTTTTGCGCCTAAGTTCATTGGGGATATGGGTCTGAAGTTTTGTTTTTGGATGTGCTCTCATCTGGTTTTAGTACAAGGGTGATATCGGCTTTGCAAAATGAATTTGGACGTGTCCCATCCTTTTCTATTCCGTGATGTAATCTGAGGAGCATTGGCATTAATTCTTTAAAGGTCTGATAGTATTCAACTGAGAATCCATCTGGTCCTGGACTTTTCTTTATTGGAAGATTTTTTTATTACTGCTTCTATCTCATTGCTGCCTATTCGTTGGTTTATACAATTATTATGTGACAGTTAAAAATTCTTTAATATGGGCTGGGATTGTGGCTCAGCGGTAGAGCGCTCGCCTAGCATGTGTTGAGGCTCTGGGTTCGATCCTCAGCACCATATAAAAATTTTAAAAAAAGAAAGATAAAAAAATTCTTTAATATTTAAATACCAACAAACAAAAGCACCTGTTATAGTTTAGATATTAGGTGTCTCCCAAAAGCTCATGTGTGAGACAAGGCAGGGAAATTCAGAGGTAGAGTGACTGGGTTATGAGCCTTTACCCTATCAGTGAAGTATCCTCTAATTGGTAGGCAGGTAGGGTGTGGCTTGGGAGGTGGGTCCCTGGGGGTGTGCTTTGGGGGCATGAATTTTGTCCCTAGGGAATGGAGCCACAAGTGGTCCCCGCCCACCAGCTTCCTGGTGGCCAGGCACTGAGCCACTTCCCTCTGCCACACCTTCTGTCATGACGTGCTGCTCACCTTGGGCCCTCAGGAGTACAGTCAGCCGTCTATGGACTGAGACCTTTGAAACCATGAGACTCAAAATTACTTCTTCCTCTAATTGTTCTTATCACATCTTTTGGTCACAGTAGCAAAAGGCTGACTAAATAGCATTCCAATGATTTACTTTATTTTATTTTATTTGTAGTGCTGGGGATTGAAACAGGACCGTGTGCATATGAGACAAGCACTCTACCAACTGCTATGTCCCCAGCCCCCAGTGATTTCTGTTTGAACTTTATGCTCAGATTTCAGGGACCTTCATGATTATTTTTAAAAATCTGTGAAGGAGCTGGGAGTGGTGGCCACACCTATAATCGCAAATACTCTGGAGGCCGAGGCAGGAGTATCACAAGTTTGAGGCCAGCCTCAGAAACGTAGGGAGACTCTGTTTCAAAATTAAATAAAAAAAAAAAAAGAAAAGATAAGAAAGTGCTGGGGACGTAGCTCAGTGGCAGAGCTTTGTGTGAATGTTGGATGGGACAGTTATGTAGACTTGGTTCCTGCTTTTCTGGATTTTGGAACCCCAGACAGTTGAATATGGACAATGGAGGTGAGAATGAGCCAGTTGTAGCTTATTAAAAAAGAGAGCCATTTCCTTCCTGTCAAAACCAACTGTGCTGTTGTAAGGGTCCCGCGAAGTGTCGGAGGAAGAGACCACACAAGAGACTGGCTCCATGCAATTGGCAAAAGGCCCACCTGCGCTCCTGCCAGCCACTGTGATTTCAGCTTGCTGAGGTTCCAGGCTCACTCAGGAAGATAGAGCAGCCCAGAGCCCAGAGCAGAGGTCAAGCAGAGCTTAAGTACACTTTCTGGAGAGGGCGGTGGGCTTTGCATACATCAGAACAAATCATCATGAGGCGCGGGAAAACTGAACAACTCTGAGGCGGGATTAGTACATTCATTGGCGGGAACAGTCTGGGCAGGGGTGATTGGTCACTCCTAAGTGGGGTACACATTTAAACTGATTGGTTTTGGAGCCTGGATGCTTACGTGCCGAGCTACTTGGAGCCCTTAGCTATTAAACAACCAGGGGACCAGGATAAATACTTACTGGGCAGTTCCCGCATTGTCCTAACAGCTACAGGGTTTACAGGTTCCGGGGTAGCAGAGGAATTTTAACAATACCTAGTCTTTTACTTTTTAGCCCAGGCCTTGCAATTTAGAAACCTTACAATGCCTGGTCTTTTACACTTTAACTCAGACTTTTGCAGCTTAGAATCAGCTTAGAAATTTTGCCTTTACACTGTTGGCAGACAGGGCTGAGGAGGAGGCAAAGCACTAGCACCCACAGCCCCTTCCTCGACACCTGCTGTCCAGGACCCTCTCTGACCCGCAGCCTGGCCATTTGGGGGGAGCAGGGCCCCAGGCCTGCCCTCTGGCACAGTCTCCTGTGGAGAGCCCTCTCAGGATGGCCTGGGAGTTCTTTGTTGAGTGCTTCCTGTGTGCCAGGCACTGTTCTAGGCAACAGAGATTCAGCAATCCACAAGGACGACTTGACAGTGGCCCATAGGTGGCAGGCAGACATCAAAGAGAAAAGTGGCAACCTAGTGAAAACTCCGCCTCTCAGCCACCTGGCTGGCACTGCTGGTCTGTCGTGAAGCAGAGAAACGGTTATCCCTGTCTCCAGGGAAGTGTCCTGGATCAGCTAAAATGCCTGGTGCTGTTCCCAAGCAGTTCTGAGCTCCTGGTGATCCGTGAATGTGGCCGTTCATCTCCGCCCAGCTGCCAAGTGCTGAGAACCTGAGACAGACAGAGCCGATGTTCCAGTGGCTGGCAGGAGCGCAGGTGGGCCTCATGAGGAATTCTGGAATCGGCTGGTAAACAGCCCATGGTCTCCTGCGTGCTCCCACGCCTTGCTGAGGCCTCCCGGGGGCCCTCAGGATCCCCCAGCACTGAACGGATGAATGCCCACCTGTTGGGAAGCCTGGAGACGGTGCCCTGAGTACGGCCCGTGTCCTTCTGATCCATCAAGGCCTGTGCCCTATTAGCTATAAAGTCTGTTTAGTAACACCTCCAGCAAGACCACAGAAGAGGCTCACGTTGAGGGGTGGTTTGAAGGAGCTGTGGCCTTGGTGACGTCCTTCTTCCAGGCAGAAGAGTCGGGAGGCTTCAGGAGTGTGCAGCAACCCGTCCTCTCAAGGTGGAGACTGAGGTAATAAGTGTCTGGCAATTGATGATAGTGGCCATCAGTGTTCCAGGGGTGTATTTACACCTTATTACCAACCGCCTTTTCCTTGTTAACTTTATTTTATGGGTTTACTCAGGAGGTGGGATAGAACTGCCACTGAGCTACATCCCCGTTCCTTTTTATTTTATCTTGAGGCAGTCTCACTAATTGGCCCAGGCTGGCCTTGAACTTGCGATCTGCCCACTGGGCCTCCCAAGTTTCTGGACCACAGGTGGGCTCTCAGTGCCCAGCTTAATGCCAACTGCCATGGGGGCTTCGGGTCCGGCTTGGGAAGCTCCCCCGTTATGATGTGCATTTAACTGGGTGATTGTTTCCAGGATTGAAAGGTAAGATGTTGTATCACCTGAGCTGACTCCCCTACCCATCCCCCTGGAATTCAAAAACACAATTTCACCCACCCCCCATGTTAGCTCCTGCTTCTCTGCTCCCTGGTCCCCATCCTGTATAACTGAGTGACGTGGGCCTGCTGCCGTGCAGATGCCACCCTTGGCCTCTGCAGTGAGTGCCGTTCAGCCCACGGGCCCTGTCCCCTCCTCCTCCCCCTCATCGCCATCGTTACAGTGCTGGGACTGAAGCCAGGGCCTCGCTCATCTCAGGCAAGTGCCGACCACTGAGTGCGCCCCAGCCTCTCCCCTCGTTCATTCGCACTGGTGCCTTATAATTATGCCTAACAGTGGGATTCTTACTTGGAATAAAGGCAGGCTGGAACAGCCTAACTGCTTTTTATAAAAGCTGAGGAAGGTGGATATTTCATGTTCGATTACCCTGGCAACCCTCAGAACTGGGCATCTGACCTAAGAGTGACCAATCCGACGCTTCTGCCTAGAACT